AGAGTAAACGAAATGAGCGCGCATATTTTGTCTGTTGGTGAACATCATCACGATCACCAGATTAATTTTTTGAAGTAATTGAGCATGAAACGTGTGTAATGCACCGAATAACACAGCGTGTAACAGTGAACAAATGTGAAGCGCTTGCTCGCTATCGCACACGGTCTCGCACTACTTTTTATGCAGTTAGTTCACTCGCTCGCTCACACATTCATTCGCCTATCGTTTGCCGGTATCATATATGCAGATTGTGACAATCATGCCGGGACAGAAGGCAGAGACACGCGACACAATGAGCTAAAATTCAAAACAATAACACAGTGAGAAAAGATCTGAATAAATCGGTAAAACTATGAGTATAACGATACAAGTACCACAGCCAGGTTGATTGCTTTATTCCCTGTCCATTTAATGCATGTTATATGAGTAATGAGAAGTGACTGCTCGATGGCCAGTTAACTGACAACGACCACCAATTATATCATCATAACATGAAACAAATATTCGAGCTGTTGCCATATGAGCGTGTCAAATGCAAAGACACGCCAAAGGATAAATGGTACAATTGCCATTTACTGTATGGCTACAGCATTGACGGCGGTCGCATTTTTGTTTGCTCAAGAATGTGTCAGACAAAATCCGTTGGAGCAATAAAACACTAGTGCAGTAGTAGTTTGAACTGGAATCTCGACTTGATGTGAAACATTGCTGTTTGTGTGTTTCATTTACAAAATTAATGAAAGCACATCTCTCAAGTGAAATGGATAAATGAAATTCCAAATTTGCGCTTGTTTTCACATTTCACGTGTGTTTGTGTGTGTGTGTGTGTGTGCCGGTGCATAAACATCAAACGTTTTAATTCATATTCAACATCCTAATGAGCATGAAATTGAGAGACACACAGAGATGGAGAGAGAGAGTAAGAACGATGTAAACTCTTGTGCAGAACTTGCACACCGACATGCGTCTGACAATGTCAAAAAGTCTTGGGCTTCATAAAATGCTTATGGTATTTGGTTTAACATAACAATCATATTATTCACGCCAACTTTTATGCAAATTTAAACATATCACAATGAAAGCGTGTATCTTCTTGAGGCCCATTCAATGTAGCCAACGCAACGGTGAGAAAGAGCGAGCGAGCATGACAACGAGGAGGTGCCAGTGGAAAAGAATGTGCAAGATGGAATATAATGCAGAGAATCGTCGTGAGTGCTCGACTGTGTGCACACCGAAAACAATAAGATCGAAAACAAGAAATTAACGCAAATGCCACTTTAATGGTGTGGTGATCGTTATGGATGCTTTATTTATTACCGCATCCATAGTTTCATTTAACATAAATTCAAAACATCACATTCTACCAAAATACTATTTAGTATTTCAAAGACGAAAATGTGGAGAAAAAAAAATTGTTTTTGTATATACAGTTACTCACAAAATTGTCTGTACACCTCACGATTTTCATACAAATTGGCGTTTTTCGTGTCTCAAAAAAATATGCTTCGCGAAATCGAACCTCGAAGATTTTTGGTATACTGTAGGTGGAAGGCCTGAAGACCAAAATAGTGAAATTTCAGAATAAAAAATCCACAGGAATTAAAATGGGAGATGATTATGTATTCACAAAATTGTTTGTACACCCAATTTTACATTAGAGTCTATGTAAAATTGGGTGTACAAACAATTTTGTGAATACATAATCATCTCCCATTTTAATTCCTGTGGATTTTTTATTCTGAAATTTCACTATTTTGGTCTTCAGGCCTTCCACCTACAGTATACCAAAAATCTTCGAGGTTCGATTTCGCGAAGCATATTTTTTTGAGACACGAAAAACGCCAATTTGTATGAAAATCGTGAGGTGTACAGACAATTTTGTGAGTGACTGTATATATAGTTATTTATTATGCTCACAAAATCGCTCGACAAACGGAAAAGCCAAGAAATGTTGAATGGGCTGAAGGAAGAGAACGAGCCATAAGAAGTGAACACTGTCGTTTCATTATTGTTTTTCTTTCACTGGTGCTCATTCAATATTTGAGCGAAGCATTTTGGTTTTGCCGCTGCTGCTGCTGCTGCTGTTGTGTATGTGTGTGTCTGTTTATTTTATGCTCTTCTCATTTCTGCTGGTGAATGCATGTGTTTTTCTTGTGCCGTGGACGATGGTTTCGAGCATTTTTCTTTCATCCCCAATGTTGGAACAACAGCATTGTGTGCACAATTGCAAACCGCAGTTGAATCCACTTAATGTCAATGAACACAGTTTATGTGTTTTTTCGACGTATCCGAGAGTCGAAAATCTATATACACACATATATATATAGTATGTGTGGAGGGCACGTATACGACGATGCATGCTCTCGCTGAAATCACAGCAATCTCTTTCCCAACACTTGTACTGACGACTACGACTACGAGTACGATGCCGTGGTGTATTTTCTCTTATAGAGAAACATGTTACTGTCATCATTGTTCTTTTACTTTTGGTTATTCCCTTTCTCTTTCTATTTCGCTCTCTGTCTTTCAAGCAAAAGAGCTTCTTAGCATTGTGTACACTCGGTGGAATATGCACGCATTTGCCTCTCTCCACACAAGCAACGAGCGAACATACCGCATCCTCTCACTTTTCTGTGTGGCAATTCAATAGCATTGTACATTGTGTGCATTGTGCAGCGGTGGTGTTCTTGATGCGCTGCAATTTTCAAAGTACACGAGATTTGAGGACTTTTACTCTTTAAAATGATTTGAGACAATGGCTTTTTTTGATATTAATATGGGTATAGCCACTTCGTGCATCTCAAACTTTTCCCTGTTGTTTTCCTTTGAATGAATTCCGAGGAATTGCAACCAGAAGAAAAACAACAAAAATGAAAGCGAAGAAAAAACAACGACGACGACAAAGATGCGAAGAATGAATGCGAATTTGTGAATGAAGTAGCCGGTCTCTTGTGCTTCTGCCCCGTTAAACTGGAACACTGAACGATCTTTGGGAAATTGATAGCAAAGCAAGTCACCTCATTCATAAACTAAAAATTTGATGTAACCACGTTCACAAAGTAGAATGATTCAATGAACATCTCGTAATTAAGAGTGTCTAAAATATGCAAGGAAAAAGAGAAAGAAAACCTCCTTTTTTCTCTCTATATAATCTAGGATTATGCTCGCTGAACGTAGCAATGTTATGCTATATGAAAAAAACAACAACGATTGAGCGAGAGAGAAGGAAAAAGATCGACGTTCGCAACTTTCTTTTATGAATGAAGTCAGAAGAAAAGAAATCGAATCTTCAAGTAGCTTCCATATTCTGCTAAAGAATATTATTATCAAGACGTGAAAAAACCATACTCCTCGTTTGCCACCACAAAACACACTCTCTCTCTCTCTCTCTCACACACACACACAAAGAAAAAATCACATAATAATGAGATAAAATAAGTAATCTTAATACTGATAAGAACACCATTTAGCTTCATTGTATATAATCCGGCAGCTAAACGACACGACACAAGAAAGAACAAAAGCCGTCGAATGCGAAACGAAAAAGAAAAGAAGAAGAAGATTCTTAAAATGAAGTTGCGGATAATGCGAGCAAATCTAAAACGACGGATTGCAATTGATATCATCACAATGTAGATTTAATTAATTCCTTGGGCGATGTTTAATTTACTCATCCTCTCTTTATCTCTCTTTCCGTTCTACAGCTGTGCATCTTTTTTCTTTTAATATAGACTCACTTTTTGTCACTTGTGTTGTTCGCGTCACATTTAGGACAAATTGCAAACCGATGAACGAATATTTCAAAAACAATAATAACATAAATAAATACAATCGACGGATAATTTACGGCTCACGCGTTTAAAATGCAAACGCATTATTTGCTCGAAAGGGTTGGGCGGAATTTTTGTTCCCTGCGTATATGAAGGACGATTTGTATGCAAGCAAAAGGTTATCTGCCAACCGTTCAAATCTTCCTCTTCATGCATTGAAGCGTTCAACTGAATGCTAGAGACTTAATAACACAAGAGAGAGAAAGAACGAATGAACAAAAGAAAAAAAAAACAACAAACGAACAAATTTCGAACGATTTAACGAGATCGAGAGAAAATGAACACGCAGTGTGAATCCAGCTGTTCAAACTCTGCACTCTGATTATGCACGAGAAGTGCATAAGATGAGCACTTATGAAAGTCGACAAAAAGAAAGAGGTTTTATTTGTGATAACTATTTCAACTTGGGCAAAAAGCTACATACACACACACACGCACAGTCACAGCCAGATATATAGTTTGCATACCATAGGCGAACGGAAGATCTGCACGGTTGTATTACGAGGAAGAAGGGCGGACAAATGGATACGCACTTGAAAAACAGTTTGTGCAAATGCAAGCGAACGAAGTGAACGAACAAACGAAGCATTCGTTTGGTTCGAGATGGTATGTTATGTGTGCGCACGTGTGCGGATCTGCTCACTCTCTCTCGGTTGTAATTACGGAAATCGTTGTCAAAGTTGAGCTATATTAAAGAACTTAGAAGCTCACTAATGCCGACCCAACAGAAGAAGAAGAAAAAATGAATAGGAAGAAAACGAAGAAACAGTCTGTGAAAACGGTTAAGAAAAATCACATAATGTTTGCTCGTGCAATAACATTCGTTTAAACGACTGCAATGACAAAGTTTTAGAGAGCGCGAAAAACAACACACAACGAAGAACAACGTAACGACTGTGAAAAAGTTAAATCGAAACCGGAAACATTGCCATTTTTGCAGCATTTCAAAATATTTAACACAGTGAATAATTTTACATGCACATTCGCTTTTTTTCCTCTTGTAACAATTCTCATTTTGTTTTCCCGTTGCTATTGTTTGGGCCCAGCATGAAGTCAATTGCTTCATTTTCCGATTGAAAGGCGGGAATATTTGTGTATGAAATTGATTGGATACTCGTTCTGAATGAATGATGTGGAAAAAGAGCTCAATAATAAAACGATATCACTTACCTGGACTCGTTTGCCAACTCAGTCCGCCAATAAACATTTTCCTGCAGGGAAAGAAAGAAAAAAATAACATTTATTTTATTAATTATCATTTCTCCGAATTGAATGCCATTTTTCAAATTCAATATTGTTAAAAGCTTTCGCACTATAACAAAAGAACATCACCACCCTACAGTTGCAACAATGCTTTTACATTGGATCAGTTTTGTTGCAATCGAATGAATTTGTTTGAACACAGAAAGTTTCTCCTCTCTCTCTCTCTCTCTCTCTCTCTCTCTCTCTCTCTCTCTCTCTCTGTATGGGTGTGGGTGTGGGTGTCTGCCTCTCTCTCTCTCAAGTATACTTTGTGAAATCCAATTTAAGCCATTTCATCGAAACCATTTGAATTTAATGAATTTTCCGAATGGTATGATGATTTTCAATGAACTTTTAATTCAATCATTTTTTGATATTATTTACACAAAAGAATATTGAACATTTCGAGCAAGCAGAAAAAAAACACTGTGTAAAAGTTTCTTGTTGGATTTTCACATTGATTACGATTGCAATGTGTTCCGTATGGTTGGAAAATGTTGATTTTTTTTGGGCTAATAAAAATTTAAAGCAGCAGATTAAAATGTCTTTTGTTACGGTTATTATTTTGCCATGAAGCCACGGCCGGGCCATAAAGTACTGATGAAATATGGTCGAACAAGCGCTACAAGTGATGGACATTTTATTTGCATTGGAATAATGAAGAAACAGTAGACAACGAAAACGAGCAAAATAAAATGCAAGAAACAACAACAGCACGGTGCACATTTTATATGGCACAAAATGCCATTTTTGGCATATATCTTTTGGTGGTATTTCGTTTTAAAAGCAGCTTTAATTCCATTATTTGATTTGATTTATACTTCCATCATTCCGTATACGGTGGACTATCTTCGTTTTTTTTTCAGTTGCACATCGTTTGTACTCGGTGGAAACACATTTTCCAGTGTTTATGCAGAATATAAATGTTCATTCATTCGTTCGTTTGCTGCGCACACATAACCGCTGGTATACACATAGCGATAGTGACAATTTTTCTGGGTTTTCTATTTGATTTGCCGTCGGTAATAATTTGTAATTTATATTTTGTTGTTGTTGATGTTCGCGAAAGAAAATCGTTGGTGCAAAACCGAAAAGTGGAAAGCTATCTTGAAAATGTTGTGGAGTTTTTGAGTGGACCCACAGTGAGCGTGAGAGGTAGAAAGTGAGAAAAAATCGGGAACGAAAATGACAGAATCAGCATATATTTAGAGGAAGATGGCAAAAGATCCGAGGCGATGAAAAGTGTTATGCTTTTAGGTCCAAAAAATGAACGTGGTAAAAAGTAAGTGTGAGAATGAGAGAGAGAGAGTAGGCCGCATGCATGGCGATGAGATAGGTTGTTTCGTTGCATGCACGTTGTTTTAAACATTCGCTTAGTTGGCATTATGATTGAATCATATTGAAAGTGCAACGGCAGCGGTAAATGGTTCGAAAGTTGACACATTTCGATTAAACTCGCTGAGCGAGCTTCGCCATTGCAAAAATGGTGATTCGATTTTGTTTCGGATCTTGATAAATTGAAAACTGAATAGGTTGTAGAGGCAAAAGAACTTTTTTTTTGCGGGTATGAGAGTGTGCCGTGCACTACCTGGTGGAACACTACAAATATTTACATACAGACACACACAAAACTCTCTCTACCTATCTGCCCGCCTCTCTCACATCCCTCATCATCAAGCCCTTTGATTCTTTTATGCAGCATTTGCATGAAAATTAAATGTAGCTCTTGATAATTTTATTAAAATCACAATCCATCATTTTACACGTTAGTCCGTTCAGCTGTGTTCAGTTGTAGTTTGGTTCGTGCTCATTGCAAAAAACTTGACTGAATACGTGTGTGTAAGTGTATTTGTTCTAGTCCCATGGTAACTATCAGACGGCAGGCGTGGCATTAATATTCATCAGCATCATAAATTACGGCAGCAATCATTTAAAAGAAGGAAATCAAATTTATGCACTAATCAACTAAGCACACACACTTGTTAATGGACATGCACAGTGTCGAAATGGTTTGTCGCTTCGAAATGCCCGTCCGTATAATCAAATTCTTAAGTAATAAATGGTCATGATATAATTTTCGTTTCGTGCCAAACACCGCCGGGGTCATTTTCAATTCAAGTTCTTCGGATTCACTTGAACTTTCAGTTGCAGTAAATCGCATCGCAATGCGCACGAAAATGTTCACAAGAAAACCCACTTGAATTTAATAATAATCATTTCGAATAAATCAAGTCGACTGGAAGGAAAACAATGAGACGTGACTTTCAAGTAAAAGTCGATGTTGAAATTTTCATTCAGCCGATAAAAACCGGTTAATGAGTTCAATTTCAGGCGCAATTTTTTCCCCGTCTTGGTACTAGAGATTCTGTAATTTTGTACTAGTTTAATTGTGCCCGAACACAAATTTCAAACATGATTAATTCCGACTCAAATGGGCTGCGTGTCAGAAAATGTTACGTGGCAAGTGTTCAAAAAGGAGCGTAACACGCTTTGCATTGCAATGAAAAATGTTGGTACAGGTGCTGTTGCAGCATCTTTTCGATTCGTTTCATCGTGTGTAGATCGGCTTGAAAGCGAACAAAACTAGCAGGCCAGCACATACACACTATGAATACTTTTCAATGAAAATAACTGTGTCAACCGGTTTCATTGATGAAACATACGTCGACCGATTTAAAATTTCGATGCAGATTATTTCAATAATGCGCATGTGTGAGCTAACAAGGCATACAACTTGAATTTGTGTGACCAACGCATGCGGTGAAATTCATTTTTGACCTAATCATCATTAATAACTGTCAAAATGCTTGGTTGCACAATTGCGTATAGTCGATTCGCCAAAAAATCAATTTGTGAATGTTCTTGAATGTGCCAAGTGGCTCTTTGTTAGTTGTCAGTCAATTGTTAAAACTGAAATTGAAAGCATCGCATCGTAACATTGATAGTCGTGTGTGACATTTGCACAAAACACCATCGACCGAATCGCCCGAAGTGAACGAACACCGTTTATGTTTTTCCAATATCATAGCCGTTGTACTCCTAAGGAGAGCCATCAACATCTGCTAGTTTTTAGCGATTTAAACACAAAATATGCAAATGAAACTGCATCTGCCTGTCTAAACTAAAATTGGTTAGTTCCTCGAGAGAATATCAAGACAGCATTGCGAACATTCATTCGGATAAAATCGGTTGAAACTCCCTACTCCATCAATGCTGCTGTGCAAAATGTGTACAATCAATCGATTGTAGTCTGTCTGATATACAAAAATAACTTGTGAATTGGATCATGATACGATGATTCTAAATTGATTTATCGACTGAAAGGCCTAATCTACACTAATTATTGGCTCTAATTCGATTGAAATATGATAATATGGGATTTAAAGAGTCGAACCGTAATTGCGATGGACAACAAATGCAAGTGAGTGGAAAATAATTGTGGTCAGAGGATACAATTTCGACATGGATCAATTATTTGCATCGATGTGGGCATCTACAGTATATCTTTTCCTCACTGTGTGGTGCGATGCTTCGATTTTTTGCTATCTGAAATGTTATTCGTTCTAAATTACCTCAGGGCTTAAAATAAGCGTGAATCAAGTCCAAAATGGTGAATCAAAATTTGAAAATGTGAATCAAAAAATGCCAAACGGTGAGTTTAAAATTCACCAAAAAATATGACTTTAACGTCTGTATTTTGGAAAAATTCGCGCTTCGCGCGACGTTCTAACTTCAAGTGTATTTCATGTGATCAATATTGCAGTTTCAAGAAGTTCATTTGAATTTGGCAGCTGAATTGTTTGTATTACGATTGCTTGTGTAGAGGGATCGTCAATATTATTATAATTGTGCGACCCATCTACTCATTATTCTCCAACAGTAATGCTGCCATATATCCTGATTTTGGCAGGACAGTCCTGATTTTTCAGGCAAATTTTACTAGAAATCAGGACTGTCCTGATTTCTTAAAAATCACTCAAATGTCCTAATTTCCAGAAACAAACGGTTTATCATTCGTCAATTCTTTATTTTTCGAAATTTCATCAGGACAATCCTGATTTTTGTAAAAAATGTCCTGATTTTCCGAACAATTTTTCAGGAAAATCCTGATTTTTTCGATGGCAGCATTATAATGCTATATCCAACAGTGTCACATGCTCAGGAGGCTGCAACATTGACTTCTTTCCATACTAATTTGACGTTTGTCACTGGTAAACGATTTTGTAGCGCCATCTGTACATATTTGACTATTCAAAGTGAACTAGCTGTCATCAGTATCGATAAGTCATCAATGTTCAATTTTAGGTCATAAACGACACATTTATAATTTGCAATGTACCGTTTATGACCCAAAATTGAACATCGATGACTCATCGATACTGATGACAGCTAGTTTCTTTTTGATTAGTCGTATATGTGCAGATGGCGCTTTTTGTGTGTGAGGCGATATGTTGCAGCTGTCCGCACATGCTCAACGCATCTCACGATGCGCAAGCGACACCCGCTAATGCCAATTATGATTTATGAAAGAGAAACAGAATAAAGTTTGATGCTTATAAATATCTCATTCTCATCTAACAAACTCACTACACTTGGATTGCCACTGTGAGTTAAAATATTGGGTGTTTGCATTAATTTTAAAGAATTTTTGAGTTCATAGATACATTTATTAAAATAATAAAATGAATGAGTACATTAACCAATGTATTCGCCATCGTTAGCTATGACTTCTAGCCATCTTTCAGGCAGCTTGTTGATTCCTTGCTTGAAGAAGTCCTCGTCTTTGGTAAAATAACACCTACTGAAAACTAATGTCAAATGATGTGGCTTTCACGTGAATATAGTTACAGTATGGCCCGATGCGTTATAGTACAAGTTACGCCATCTGTAGTGGAAATTCTTTAAAACTAATACATACACCCAATACAACACACATAAACGCGCGGAATCTGTGCGCTACAGTGTGCGC